ACTCACCTGAGAAAACTTTAAACAAAGACTGAGTTGTGTGTTGTAATTCTGGAATCTGGTATAACACTTGATATGTTGTAGATATTCAATACACATTCATTGGGTTAATAATACATTCATTAAAAATTTTTTTTAACAGAGATTTTTGCTATAGGATGTGCGCATCTGTTGGAGAAACAGAGAGGCAGAAAGCAAGAAATCACACACACACCCCTTCCCAGGAGGGATGACCATGCCATAATTCCTTCTCCTCTATTCTTCTCTCAGAATCTTGGGCATGTACACACATGCGCCCTGCGTGAGTTTTAAGTCACGGGTCAAAACTGTGGGTGACTACATGGGAGTCTAGTGATGTAACCATTATGCTGGTCCTGATAATGTATTCTTGATCATTTTATTTTGCATCTTTTCCTGAGTTTCCGAGAAGGCTTTTGGGAAAGGAGAGCTTGAGCCATAAGATCCTAAATGTTAGAAATGTTGACTTACTAGCATGACTACACAGAGTACCCAGTTCTCCCAATTTCTCAGAAATTACACATATTACACAGATTCCTTTGTCCTAGAAATTCATTATGAAAATGCGACTTTTATTCGAAGTTGTTAATTCAGACAAGGATGCATAAAATTAAGATTTAGAAAGACAGAGGCCATGTTTATTTGGTTTATCATTCATTCTTGTGACCTGTGTAAAGAAGAGGCCCAATACATTATACATGAACAAAGGACTTCCGGCAGCCACATTTTTAGTGATTGTAGGGCATGAGAGTGCAGGTGAGAAAACTGGGATGACTCCCAGGAGGAAATGGTATTGGGTGACTGGTTTCTAATGGTACCTAACTTACAGAAAAATCCTAAAGTTGTACGCCAGCTGCTGAAGACAGGAGCATGAATAGGGAGCACACTATGGCCACCGCAGTTAATACTTCCCAACCCTGAATAGCACAGCGGAGAGGGAACTGGACTATGAATAAGAAGGCAGGAGTCCTAACTTGGCTCTGGCACCTTCCCACTGTACAGCCCTGGGCAGTTTACCGAACCTCTTAGTTTCTTCCTCACTTGGGGAGAGCAGGCAGCAAGCAACATTTACTGCTGATTTACTACGAGCCAGGTTCTGTGAGGGGTTTTACATATATTCCCTCACTTACTCTAAGGAAATTTGGCTAGGTCTTTTCCAGCTCTGAATGCTCAAGATTTTATGATTCTCAGCTAATTCAAATCCTATGCCAAAGTACATAAAGCAATGAAAGACACTTCAGAGATAGGCTGAAAAAAAAAAATGTAAGTGGTTATTAGTTCTTTCCCAAAGATTACACACATGGTGATTAAATTATGCTCTGGAAGAATGTTAGTACAAAGATGTTACATGCTTTTCTGATAGCCATAGATGATATTGGTGATGTTCGTGACAGGGCTGAATGATGAAGGATACCTCCATCCGCTCAGTGCTAGATTGCTGAATGGCGCTCTCACTCGCACCCCTGATTACCCCATCAGGCTGTTTGAGCAAATGTTTCAGGGGTGCTTATCTGAAATAACAAATCTAAATGAAAGCCATATTTTCAATATGTACTACTGGGACAAAGGAAACGTAGATTTTAATTTGCAGCCAAGAAATACAGGCCCAATCAATCATTTCTCAATGGGACATTTTATGGAGGTGCAAAGAAATCACCTCCATAGGAACTCTGAGATTTTCCCCCTTTGGGTGGTAAAGCTCAGGCAGACAATGGACTGCTTTTATACAAAGTAAGGAGCTAAAAGATAAAGGAAAATTGTGACTTATGAGAAGTATAGTTCTATGTGGGAGTTCCTTTTCATATAATAAACCACACTACCCAGATGTCTAATGAAAACCACTCCAAGGATATAATTATTGCTTAAATGTTACATTCAAGGCAGGGAGTGTCACCCTGGAACCAAGTCAAATATCTCAGAAAGCAACTTCTGAGTTCCCTAAATCTAACAGTTTGAGTTGTTAAGATAAGTAAATTTATGAGGAGTGGGCATGGGGGCAAAAGATACCTTCAGTATGCTGTATCCACTCCTGAAAGACAATAGGAAAGGAATAATTCCTGACAAATAACTTTCTATGGGGACTGGCAGGTGGCATGGTGGTTAAGGCAGCTGAATTCTCACATGGCTGAATGTGGTTCGAGTCTTGGGCTCGGCAGCTTGCATTCTCACTTTCTTTCTCTCTCTGTCTCCGGTCAACTTCAAATAAAATAAAATAAAATAAAATAAAATAAAATAAAATAAAATAAAATAAAATAAAATAAAATAATGAGGTTGAATAAAATTAAATAATTCTTTAAAATTTTTTTTCTAAATAACTAGAGGTCTTTTCTCCAATATTATCTATTCAAAACTGTGTAGTACGATGAATATTTATGGAGCAGAAACCATGTGTCAGGCATTCTGCTAATTCTTAGAAACTCACAAAATAAACATAATTCTCATCCTGAAGAGAAACAGTCTAGTGGTGAGCAGAGGTCCATAGAGACTGTGATAAGGTATGCAGAGTGCTGGGAGAAGGGGAAGGATGAGAGCCTCTCCACTAGGTTTGGTGCAGTTACAGAAAGAACCTTGGCGAAGGTGATACTAGAGATGTATCACCAAAAACTAATCAGGATTTGGCCAACCAGACACTGGTAGGGAGAAGTTTAGTTTGAGAAGAGGGACGAGGAGGTCCATAATTAGGATGGAGAAGAGTGTCTACAGGGAAACAGCAGATCACAGTCATTAACCACAGACACCTGGTGTGATTGTTCAACACTATCCCCTGGCATGCATATTAGGATGGAGGCTCTGAAAGGGCAGAGAACCTTTCTGTTTTGGCCACTATGATGTTGCTGCCTGCTCAACATACACATGTGAAATGCATACCTGCATGCACAGATGAATAGAATGTACTAAATAGGTACTTGTTGAATGCATTGATTAGTAAGTCCATATGTGGGGAGCACCACTCCAAAACAGGCTAGGACAAGCCTCTCGCTTCCATATTAATTGCACTAAGTCTAAGTATAATCAACTAGGAGTCAAACGAACTTGTGCCGCGGCATGAGGTGCCTTCAGTGCTAGGCTCTAGCATGTAAACTATATCGCAGTGGTAAGAGTGGACCACTAAACTGCATCAAGCTGGAAAATGACGTGATCAAACAGCACGTGAGAAAGTTCACTCTGGTGGAAGGTTAGAGAGAAGGTTAGAGAATAGAGGGGAGCAACAAAGGATGAGAAAGCCTCTATTGGGGTATAGAGCATCGTTTGGTACGGTGGCTTAGCAACAAGTTACAGGAAAGTGAAAGGAAAAGTAATCATTCAAAGAAGAGTTTATTCCCACTTGCCCTGAGCTTACTTTATGAAAATTTCATAACGTGACATAGAAGGTCAATGAAAAGTTTCACAAGATTGGAGGAAGACTACTCTCTGTAGCAGACCCCAGCTGACACATCAAGAGATTTGGGTTTGCCCCCCATGTGTTTCTAATTTATGATGTAGTTTTTAGCAAGGTGCTGGATTCCTGGGGATTTGGGTTTCTGGTATACAACAAAGAGATGGAAGCCATGGTGTGGAAGGCCTCCTCAGCTTCACGATTCCAGGATTATGGATTCTATGACCCTCTGAACGCTGCAATGATCTTTTAAAACATGCTCTCACGTCGGGTGCATGTGCGTGCGTGCCCAAGATTCTCGCTTTGTGTGTGTCTCTCTCTCTCTCTATCTGGCGAACGCATGTACCCTATAGCAAAAACCTCTCTAAAAACAAACAAACAAACAAACAAACAAAACATGCAGTGGAGTAAAATGTGTAACTCTTAGATTGGGTTTATATTGATACATTGAACTGATTTGGAGGAGAAAGTCACCGTAGGAAATACTAAGGTCCAACCCTTCATTTTACAGATGAAGAGATTAAGGATTAACAATGTTAATTGAAATGATCAAGGTCATGTAGTTAGTTGGGGTCAGAAGAAGAGCTAATCCTTCATCCTTATTTATCAAACTGCATGAACCTGTTTCTATATCAAAATAAAGGCAAATTGGACTTGAGCTTTTGGTAACTTTTTTCTTTCTTTCTTTCTTTTTTTTTTTTTTTTTGGAGGGGTTTTTGTTATTGGGTAGAGAGGTTTTTGCTATAGGGTGCGTACGCTAGCTAGAAAGACAGAGAGAGACAGAGAGACAGAAAGCGAGAAATCACCCCCCACAGGGTATGGCCATGCCGCAATCCCTTCTCCTCCATTCTCCTCTCGGGATCTTGGACATGCACGCACACACGCCCGGCATGAGTTCAAGCCGCTGGGTCTGGGACTCGAACCGCGGTCAACTACATGAGAGTCCAGCAATATAGCCATTATTTTAACTGCTGGTCCCGATAACTTTTATCTTAAATTTTAATCTCTGTATTCATCAGTAGTTCAGTTTAAAAGAATTGTAATATAGGGCCAACAGATGACATCATGGTTACATCACTGGACTCCCATTTAGTCCAGTCCTGGATCCCGTGGCTTAAAACTCATGCCGGGCTCATGTACGTGCATGTTCAAAATCCCAAGAGGAGAATGGAGGAGAAGGGATTGTGGCATAGCCATCCTCCCCCCCCCACCCCCCCGGGGGTGATTTCTCGCTTTCTATCCCTCTGTGTGTGTCTCTCTCTCTTAGGTGAGTGCACATGCCCTATAGCAAAAATCTCTCTCTAAAAAAAAAAAAAGTAACAGAATTTATGATCATTCTGGTCAAAGTGGCATACATCAAAAACCTTCATTTCATTTTTCAATTTGCTGAACTCCTACTGTTTTCTAAGATCAATGAGACCCTGACTAGATAATTTTTGACATTCTATCAGTTCTAAAATGCTACGATGTTACAGCCTATTTTTAAATTTCATTATGTATCCTAACTAGCTTGGAGGACAAACATCTATGAATTGTTTTATAAATGCCATTCAATGTTTTTTGCCTTGGTGAAAGGGATTCAATACCACCACAGAAAGTCCATACTTACTTGTTGGATGTTCCATGAAGGTTTGTCAATAGAGTGAAGTTGTTTCTCACACTTCGCAAGCTGGCAAGGACCTACAAGAAAAAATATTTCAAGTGGTTAAGGAAAAGAGGAGACAAATGTCCAGGTTCAGTGTCCACACTTAAAATTCACACCCAGAGACAGAATAAGAGCGAGCCAGGGCCAGCATGATACATACCTGGGCAAATGGAGTAACAATCAAGTCATCGCCATGTCTGTTGAAAAGACAGAAAGGAAACGTTTAAAAATGCATTTGAATAAAACTTTGACAGATAAGCTACAATATTAAACAGTATCAATGTCAGCAGCACATATGTTACCCAAGTCCTTCCACCTCAAATACAAGGAAGGACTCAACAATTAAGCATAAATGGGGATCCCAAGAGCTTGAAAGAAAAACAAACATAGTACCACCAGGTTCATGGCTCCTGGATTTATAGTGACTACACATAAAAGCGTTTGCAAGCATGCATATTTCCTTAGGGTATATTCCCATTAAACAGCAGACCCAGAGTACTGTAATTCAAAGCAACTTGTGGATTTTGGTTGCCAGAGCCAGGAAATTCAAAGGGAGGGCTGCTTGCAGGCACACACAGAGTTGGAAAAATGGTCTAACAGTCTGGATAAAGGTTAACTTCGGATTTCCTGGCTTTTGTTGATTTGAACCACAGCTTTAATGCCATTTAAACACAGATTTCTGCCTGGGAATCCCATTACTTTTTTGTTTTTAATATAACTTTTTTTTCTTAAAGTACCCAAGGGAAAATTTTTAATAGGAATGTACATACTGATTTTGCCCCAAAGACCTGATTAAGCCCCAAAGACACTCATTTTGCCCCAAAGACCTGATTAAGCCACACCTAGTGTCATGTAAATATCTAGTAGAAATAGTCCAAAATGTATTTTCAGAAGTGCTCTCTCCCTCTCTCTCTTGCTCTCCCTCTCTTTCTGGCACATGCTTTAATAAATCTATTTAAGCCCTCATTCAGCAAGCAGTCTATTGAAGGTATTAGAAGACATGTTGGCCTCAACTGCAGTCATAAAATGAGGCCAATTTGTTATTAAAGCAGCCGAGAAGCTAGTGACAATGAGCTTGCCTCACTGTTTGGTCTACCTTCTCCCTCCTCATGATCACGACACAAATAGAGCACCTTATTCATGAATTATGTGAGTGGTTGAGCACCTGCCCTGTGCCAGGTAGGATGAGAGGCCCAGAATTCGGAGTTGAAGAACATGCATCCACCTGAGCCTACCCTCTAATCCTCTAGAACAGGCTTTTAACATGGAGTCTCTCGAATACTATGCTTGCCTTTCCACCTTTGTCTTCAGCTAGAAGTTCCCCTTCGATTTAATCTAGCAAATTTCTTATGTGTCCAGTGACACTAAAAAAGAACATGGAGAAGGAAAAGGAATTGTGTGTTTACTGTCTGTCAGGTGTTGGGCTAAGTACCTTACATGCATTCTCTCATTTAATTCTTGAAATAAGCCTGGGAGGTGGTTTCCTAACATGCCCATTCTGTAGATGAAATCAAGCCTCAGAGCAGTTAACCAGTTGTTTAACTAGCACATAGCTAGTAGGTAGAAGAAAGGAAACTCGGGCACGAAGAACCTGAACTTTTAAACACTATGATGCCCATATTATGATGACACTGAAATCAAATTATATTAAATCCATGACCCCCTAACCCAAAACATAGTAGGGGGACAGAAAAATATTAGAAAATGAAAACAGACATTACACACAAAAAATGAGAAATACAAACAATGACCACATAATGGAGTCCGAAGACTAGGTGACAGTGATGGGTTAGAGGAAGCAGGAAAGGCTTGTTTGAGTGAGGAGTGTTTAAGATGAATTTTAAAGGGAAAGCTTTAAACAAGCAAGGATAGTAGGTGTTACCAATAAGAGAAATGGCAAGAACAAAGGCAATTAAATGGGAAAAACTGAACGAGTTAATGGAGAGGTCTGGTCACTGCTTGGGTGGAGCCAAGCTTATGAGCTATAGACATCTGCAGAGGATGAGGTTAGATAAGGTCCTCCGTACCCATGCGACGGATGATCTGCACACAGATTATGGAGTTGGTGCTTAACTTAGTAGGAAGACACAAAGCAGTGAATATTTTTAATGAGATGGAAAGTGAGACAGGCAAAAAGAAAGTGTTTTAGAAAGTAAAATGCTATAGATGCTGCAATGGCTTGTGTCCCCACATCATAGGGTCAAAAGGTAGAGTCTGATCTACCCCTGAAAGGTTTATAAGGAGAGAGAATGAGGCCAAGAGACAATCATGGAACACAGACTCTACCCTCCTGCCTTTTGCTCTGGTGTGATAAGACTCACCAGATCCAGTCCTCAGCCCTCAGCCCTCCAAACCATGAGCTGAATAAACCTCTATCCTCTTAGGTTACTCATATGCAGATGTTTTTGGCTAGCAGCAAAGGGATGGACTAGAACAGATGCTAAGGGATGGATTGGAGAAGACACAGCTGGGAAGAATACTTATGGAGACATTACAGTTGTCACATGAGAAAGAATAGGTAAAGCCAAGGAAAAAGCAAAAGAAACAAGCTGAAAAGACCCCAGAGGTTTGTTTGTTTTTTTTTTGGAGAGATTTTCACTGTAGGGCGTGTGCACTTGCCAGACAGACAGAGAGAGACATAGAGATAGAAAGCGAGAAATCACCCCCCAGGAGGGATGGTCACGCCGCAATCCCTTCTCCTCCATTCTCCTCTCAGGATCTTGGGCATGCACGCACATGCGCCCGGCGTGAGTTTTAAGCCACTGGGTCCGGGACACGAACCGTGGTCGACTACATGGGAGTCCAGCGACATAGCCATTACGCTAACTGCTGGTTCCCAAGACCCCAGAGGTTTTGATGTGACTCATAATTTAACTGGATAAAGGGTCATAAAGAAATACTATTTTCAGTGATAAGAATGGGTATCCCAGTGCACAGTGAAGTCATTATTAAAATTAAGAAAGTAAAGAAAAATTGAAGAATTTTTGAGGTACTTTTTAAGTTTTAAGGCACACACTGAATTTTATGGTATGCATGGACATACAGGTGGAGACATCAAGCAGGAACTGGAATATGAGAATTAGCACTGTGGATTTAGGAGTTACCTAAAGACCTCAATAACAGTAGGGATAGCTAAAGCAGGTGTAGTTGGTGATGTGGTGGTTAAGGTGGCTGGATCCTATATAGCCAACTATGTCTCTGACCTCATGGCTTGCAAAACACTCCTGGCACATGCATGCATGCCCAAAATACAGAAAAGAGAAATGGAGGGAGACCAGTGGATGGTGTAATGGTTATGTTGCTGGACTACCATGTAGTTGACCGCAGTTCGAGTTCCAGATCTGGTGGCTTAAAACTCACACCTGGCACATGTGTGTGCATGCCTGAAATTCCAAGAGGAGAATGGAGGAGAAGGCATTGTGGCATGGCCATCCTCCCTGGGGGTGAAGGTAGGGTGATTTCTCTCTCTCTCTTTCTCTCTCTCCTTTCTTTCTTTCTTTCTTTCTTTCTTTCTTTCTTTCTTTCTTTCTTTCTTTCTTTCTTTCGTTCGTCTCTGTCTCTCCAGCAAGCACATGTACCCTAAAGCAAAAATCTCTCTCTCTAAAAAAATAAGAAAAGAAATGGTGGAGAAGGTATTGCAATGTGGCCATCCCTTACAGGGGATGCTTTCTCACTTTATTTCTCTGTCTCTCTCCAGCAAGTACATGCACCCTCCAGCCAGCCCCCCCACCCCCCCAAAAAAAAAAAGTAATACAAGGAATGGCTTTCTTAGGTGAAAGAAGAAAACAATATATACAGGTGGTGAAGGAAGAACCTCAGGGTTCCTAGAAAGTAGCAGTAAGGAGAGGTAGAATAGACTTGAGACAGAACAGTTGTGATTACTGTAGTGTGGTAAACTGCATCAAAGACTGTTCCTTCCCAGGTTATTTTCTTGGCTTGAATTTTGAGATGAAAGACCTTACTGTTTGTTTAGATTCTGATGTGAAGTTCACATTATTCATAAGATGTCTGAGTGAGTTAGGGGACAAGGTAATGAATTTAGAGTTAAGAAGATCTTCTAGAGTTCCTGGGTTTCCAGAGTCTAAATATTTGATGAAAACTAAATAATACAAACACATTATATTGTAAATGTATATACCTAGAGCTGTATTGTTGAATTAACTGGGAAGTTACTAGAACTGCACAAACTAGTAATTGCAGGGAGGTTAGAAAACACCAGCAGTGAATAGAACTTTGCCATTATTGAACTTCATTTGTTATAAAGCAAAAATAAAGAACTTCTTCATTTTTTTAACAGAGAACATTACATTCTTTGTCTGTTAAATGTTTCTTCCCTTTGTACCTCATACCCATGTTCTGCCACTCCCTTCTCTTATAAGCTCTGGTATCTACACTTACCCTCTCTATTATTATGTCTTTAGCTCTATTTCTGCCATAGAGTGTAGACATTCAGCATATATTGAGTGGGGATATACAGTATGTATCTTTCAAAATCCGGTTCACTTAACATTAGGTCTTCTATATTCATCCACTTTCAATCAGACAATAGGGTCTCAATGTTTCTTATGGCTGAGTAATATTCCACAGTATATATGTACCACAGTTTTGAAGTTTAGGAGAACAAAATATTCAGAAGCTGGAGATGGATTTATAGATCCTCAGTACTGGCTTCTTCAATAGCTAACACAGAGAACTAGCAGATGATGAAATGGTTATGTCCCTGGACTACCATATAGTTGACTGCAGTTCGAGTCCCCAACCTGATGACTTAAAACTCACAACGGATACATGTGGGTGCATACCCAGACTCCTGTGAGGAGAATGCAGGAGAAGAGACTGAGGGTTGTCTATCCTTCTGGGGGGGAGGGGCTGTGATTTCTCACTTTTTATCTCTCTCTGTCTCTCTGTCAAGTGCACATGCCCTATAGCAAAATTCTCTAAAAAAAGAAAAAGAAAAAGCTAATCCAGTATGTAATATAATAGTTGCTAGAGACATCATCAGAAAAGTTATACTAAACTTCAGAAAAAAAAAAACTATGTAAGTACAGCCAGATTATTTACAGAAGTGTTATAAATTGATTATAAAATCTGATGTGTTTTTTTAGTTTCCCAAACCACTAGAGAAGACAATGTCTCTCAGAAACAAGGCCAGATATTCAGAAATATTACGTGGGCACCATCTAGTGACAAAATGAGC